TAAGAAGCAAGCTGGTGTAGCCATTTTAGTATATAATAAAATAGACTTCAAACCTAAACTAATCAAAAGAGATAGGGAAGGAAACTTCATACTCATCAAAGGAAAAAAATCTAACAAGATGACATTTCAATTCTTAATATCTATGTCCCAAACACAAGGGTATCAAAGTTTGTAAAAAGAAACATTTCTACAGCTTAAATCACCCATTGACTCTCACACACTGATAGTGGGAGACTTCAATACCCCGTTCTTACCAATAGGCAGGTCACTCAGGCAAAAACTAAACTGAGAAATACTGGAGCTAATAGACATTATAAACCAAATGGGCCTAACAGATATTTACAGGGCATTTCACCCTAACACAAAAGAATAAAACTTCTTCTCTGCACCTCAGGAAACATTCTCTAAAATTGACCACATACTTCTACACAAAGCAAGACTCAACAGACACAAAATAACTCCTTGAATCCTATCCCACCAACATAGCTGGATGTCAACAACAACAAAACAGCAGAAAGCCTAAAACTAATGAAAACTCAACAACTCTCTACTAGATGAAAAACAGGTCAAGACAGAAGTAAAGAAAGAAATAAAAGACATTCGAGAGTTCAATGAAAATGAATACATGGCATACCCAAACTTACAGGGCACAATGAAAGCAACTCTGAGAGGTTAATTATAGCACTAGGTGCCTATATAAAAATACTGGAAGATCTCATACTACCAACTTGACAGCACATATGAAAGCTCTAGTACAAATAGAAACAAACACACTCAAGAGAAGTACACAACAGGAAATAATCAAATTGTGAGCTGAAATCAATAAAACAGAAACAAAGAGAACAACACAAAGAATCAATGAAACACAGAGTTGGTTGAGAAAAATCAACAAGACAAACCTTATCTAAACTAACTAAAAGGCAGAGATAGAATATCCAAATTAACAAAACCAGAAATAAAAAGGAGGCATAACAAACACCAAGGAAATCCAGAGACTCATAAGGACATACTTTAAAAACCTGTAGTCACCAAACTGGAAAATCTAAAAGATACAGAGAGTTTTCTCAAAAGCTACTTTACCAAAGTTAAACCAAGATCAGATAAACAATGTATGTAGACCTAAAACCCCTTGAGAAATAGGAGTCATTAAATGTCTACCAACCGACAAAAAAAAAAAAAAAAAAAAAGCCCAAGGCCAAAGGGTTTTAATGCAGAATTCTACCAGACTTCCAAAGAAGAGTTAATGACAATACTCCTCAAATTATTCCACAAAAGAGAAAAAGGAATCCTGCCCAATTCATTTTATTAGGACACAGTTCCCGTGATAGACAGACCGCATAAGACCCAACAAAGAAAGAATTACAGACCAATTTCACTTTTACATGAATGCAAAAATACTCAATAAAGGGGCTGGGGATTTAGCTCAGTGGTACAGTGCTTGTCTACAAGTGCAAGGCCCTGGGTTCGGTCCTCAGCTCTGGAAAAAAAAAATACTCAATAAAATACTTGCAAACCGAATCCAAGAACACATCAAAAAAAGAGCATCCACCATGATCAAGTAGGCTTCATCCCAAAGATGCATGGATGATTCAACACACAAAATAAATGTACTCCATCATATAAAGAAATGAAAGGGAAAAAAGAAACAGATGATCATCTCATTACATGCAGAAAAGTCCCTATGACAAAATCCAACCCCCCTTCATGGTAAAAGTCCAGGAGTAAATAGGTATACATGGGGCATAACTAAATATAATAAAGGCAGTTTACAGTGAAAGACCCTAGCCCTTCAGGCTTACACCCCCAAGCCCCAGGAAAAGAGAAGCTTCAAGCACCAGGAAATGAGAAACTAAAAATCTAGTTCCAAGGGCAACCTGACTCAGCCATTGTTCAATCTTACCTGCAACCATATAACAATGTAAAAAGATTTCTGTTAAGAGATGTGTTCAACTGTGACTGGGATAGTTGCAAAGGTCCCAGGAAGGACCACCATGACCTGTGTGTAAACTCCACTCCCGCCCTGATACCCCCCTTGAGGTTTCAGGAAAAATGTACCTGTTGCCGTAACTGTACCCCCTCTGTGATCACTCTGTGATCAGAGCATGATCTTGTGAAATGAAATTGTATGGGAATTGTAATCTTGTGGGTTTTGTGGGTTTTTCCTTTAAAAGCCCTCATGGGGCTGCAGTAAGATGCGACTCTTGCTCTTGGGAGCAGAGGAGCCCTTCTGTACAGAAGCTTAATAAATCCTCCTGCTCTTGCATCAACTGGACTGGAGTCTGACTGAGTTCTTGGGGCACCCACTTGAGACTCTAAACTTTGGGGTCCAATAACAGCAAGCCTATAACCAACATCACATTAAATGGAAGGAAACATACAGCAATTCCACTAAAATCAGGAACAAGACAAGGTTGTCCACTCTTTCCATATGTATTTAATATAGTACTTGCAGACTTAGCTAGAGCAATAAGACACCTAAACGAGATCAAAGGGATACAAACTGGAAAGGAAGAAGTCAAAGTATCTTTATTTGCTGATGACATCATAGTATACATAAGTGACCCTAAAAATTCCACTGGGGAACTTCTATAACTGATAAACACTTTCAGAAAAAGTAGCTGGATATTAAATTAACTCAAAATAATCAGTAGCTCTCCTACATATGAATGACTAATGGACTGAGGGGGAAAAAATCAGAAAAACAACACTTCCACAATAGTCTCAAATAATATAAAATATCTTGAGGTAACTAACCAAGCAAGTGAAAGACATGTATGTTAAAAACTTCAAGTCTTTAAAGAAAGAAATTGAAAATGATATCAGAAGATGGAAAGCTCTCTTGTGCTCACGGATCAGTAGTATTAACATAGTAAAAATGGCCATCCTTCCAAAAGCAATCTGTAGATTCAATGCAATCTCCAACAAAATTCCAAAACACAGACCTGGAAAGGACAAATTTGCAACTTCATCTGGGAAAAAACAAACAAACAAACACTCAGGATAGCTAAAACAATTCTAAACAATAAAAGAACTGCTGGGGGGGGGGTCCTCAATATTCCTAATTTCAAGTTGTACTACAAAGGTATCCTAGTGAAAACTGCATGATGTTGCCCTAAAAACAGACTAGCTAACCAATGGAATAAAATTGAAGACCAAGACAAAAATCCACACACCTATGGACACCCAATTTTTGATAAAGAAGCTAGAAACACCCACTGGAAAAAAGAACAACATCTTCAACAAATGGTGCTGGTCAAACTGGATGTCTGTGTGTAGAAGAATGCAAACAGTTCATAGTTACCACCCTTCACAAAACTGTAGTTTTTGTGATCAAAAAAAAAAAGTAGATCAAAGTCCTCAAAAGATGCAAGATACACTGAACCTGATAAAGGAGAAAGTAGGGAATAGTCTTGAACACATCAGCACAGGAGACAACTTCCTAAACAAAACCTATAGCACAGGCACTAAGATCAACAATTAATAAATGGGGCCCCATGAAACTTAAAAACTTCTGTATGGCAAAGTACACCATCATTCAGAGAATCGTTCCATAGAAAGGGAAAAGATTTTTACTAGCTCCATATCCAACGTAAGACTAATACCCAAAATACATAAAGAACTCAAGAAACTAGATATTTAAAAAAATAATAATCCAATTTAAAAATGGGGATCAATCTGAAAAGAGAATTGTCAATAGAGGAAACTCAAGTGACTGAGAAAAACCTCCTTAGGCATCACGGAAACACAAATCAAAAGTACTGTGAGACTCCATCTTGCACCTGTCAGAACAGCTAAAATGGGTAACACAAGTAATAGTTCACATCAGCGAGGATGTGGAATAAGGGGAACACTCATCCTTTGCTAGAGGGAGTGCAAACTTATACAGCCACTACAGAATTCAATATGGCAGTTCCTCAGAAAGTTGGAACTTGATGTACCTCAAAATCCAGCTATACCACTCTTGGGCATAAACCCAAAGGATGCTCCATCATACCACAAGGACACTTGCTCTACAATATTCATTGCTGCTCTATCATAACAGCCAGAAACTGGAAACAGCATAGATGTCCTTCAACAGAAGAATGAATAAAGAAAATGTAGTATAGTTACACAATGGAGTACTATTCAGCTGTTTAAAAAATGACATCATGAAATCTGCAGGCAATTAGATGGAACAACTGCAGTCAGGAGAACAAGAAAAAATTCTCACACAGTATCATTTTGTAAAACTAAAGCAAGAAGGGGGGCTAGAGAGGTGGCTCGGTGGTTAAGAGCACTTGTACGGTTCCTATCACCCACAAGGTGGTTCTCATCCATCTGAAATTCCAGTTCCATGGGATCCAAAGACACCACCAAGCATGCGCATGATATAGACATATATGCAAGCAAAACACACACACAAAATAAAACGAATACATCGAAAATAATTTTTTTAAAAACTAAAACAAACAAACAAGAAAACAAAGGGGAAAATGCAAAAACCATATTGAATGAGGTGTTAAGGAGTAGACATACAGTTCTGTGGGAAACTTCTTGAACACCACGAAGCATGGGGGAGCTATTCTGAGGCAGACCAGATGAGGGAGGGGAAGGAAGAAGACAGAAATGAAATCCGACGTGATAATGGGGGGAAAAAATCAGCGCAAACAGAAGCACAACAGAAGGTAAACTGCACAGAACACCCACGTCTCTACAGAGCAGTCTGGACTCAGCAATACCAACCCGCCAGTACTGCAGGTCTGTGTAGGCGCAGGTACACAGGGCTGGGGACTGCGAGGAAGCAGCTTCACCAGGAGAGAAAAGTGGGCTACTTGGGGCGCAAGGCTGCCTGTGGGGTGCACACTTCAAGAGCACGTAGGCGTGGGCATAGGCACGGCTGGCCCAGTTTCCAATTTCCACTGGACTGCAAGCACCAGGAGAAACGCCAGATGCTGGCGACGCAAAGGAGCTGGTGTGCCAACCCCGACACCCAAGATTGCAGGAGCCCAAGGCACACTCACCATTCCTGGCTTCTGATGTGTTTGGGTTTCCTTCCAAAGATGCCTGTAGTCGGCAGAACACAAAGTCTCCCCAAACAGGTCCTCACAAGGATCCCGGTTACTAAGCAAGGCATTAAAAAGACTTCCGGGACGCACGCTGCGACTATCCGTGCTCCCGATTGGACAGTTCATTCCTTTTAGTACTATGGTCCCTGATTGGAGAACTCTACTGACTCAGCGATAAGTATCAAAACATTTTAGGAAAGTTCAGGTGCAACCCGTGACTGCCCACACTCTAGAAAGCGAACTTCTGTGAAAGCCATTCAGGGCTACATGGTAAGACCCTGACCCAAAACGAAACAAAGACGCGCGGCATGGTGGCAGGCATTTTTAATCGTGATCACTAAGTGGAAGCTAGCCTGGTCCAGAGAACTAGCTCCAGGACAGATAATAGTACCCAAAGAAACCCTGTTTCGAAAAAACAAAACAAACAAGGAAGCAAAATAAACAACAACAACAAATTTAAAAACAAAAACTCTTAACATATCCATACTCTCTGGAATGAACCTGTTCCGTTTTGACATTTCACTGCATTGTAAGAAAACATGCTCTGGGATTTGGAATGCACTCACTCACTGCCTCGCACACCCTATATTCGGCACCTGCCTTTTCCATAAAGATGGTACCTTAAGTTTATTATGTACATTCCAATCTCTTGCCCCAAAGGGAAAAAACAAAAACAGGACTTTGGGGTAGAAACAGGTCCCAAGTAGGTTCAAGCAGAGGAAACACATGTAGCACTTGATAGGAAACCTCAAAGATTAGGGATGAGGTAAAAATCCATGAGTTTCTCACACTCATGTTTAAGTGTGTCCATTTTCTGCCAAAATAATTAAAACACACCAATAAGGAAGTACAGCTGCACAATGGATGGATAAAAGATACATACCAGGAGTACTCCACTAAGAATTCAGTTATGAAAAGAAACCCTTAAACTTCAGAAAAGGTTTTCTTTGCCCACGATCATGAAGAAAGCCTCCATTCACTGGAGTATAGGCCCCCAGATCCCAGGATCTCACAGATTGCTAACAAAGGGCCCTGAAACGGTCATTCTCTAGTGATGATGCAGACACTCCGAATGATTTATCCTTGAGACCGAATCATGCCAGCTATTGCTTCCATGGCCATGAAATAATTCTTTCAACACTAAGATATTCTCCAGAATTACAATGTCACTGACACCCACATTAGATTTATCTATTTTATTTCACCATTGTGAGAGTTTTTCCTACATGTGCAGCAGTGTGCCTCCTGTGTGCTTGGTACCCTGGAATATCAGAAGATGCTATTTTATTCCCTGGAACTGGAGTCTCAGACTGTTCTGAGCCACCATGTGGGGGCTGTGAATCAACTGTGGTCCTCTGGAAGAGAAGTGTGTGCTCCTAACAGCTGAGTCATCTCTCCATCCCCTATTTGCATTAAGATTTCAAAAATAAGTAAACAGTAAAATTCACAAATGTTTTCTCCAGGGGTCTACCAAATTGTGTCTCTAAAACATGACCATCACGGATGGATGTTCTTCATAGGAGAGGGAGGACTGTTGTGACTAATCTTAGTCATGCTTTGAGTGGCTGTCCTCCTAGGTAAGCAACCTCCATTTGGGGGATTTCCAAAGATGATCACAGCTGGGCTGATTAACCATTTAAACCCCACCTGGAGAGTGGAGGAAAGCACAAGCTTCTCACCTGCGGATCCAGCTGAAAGGAGTCTGGGGAAGGGACAGCTTATGCCAAGGCAGGGAAGAATGAAGGGAACGGGGAGACTCTCTGCAGCTACAGGGAAGCCTTCATCCCTGCGGGGTAAGGCTTTCCAGGACCAATGTCAGTTCTGGAATTAATTACACCAATGTGTGTGGCATGTGTGCTTAGGATGTAAATTCCTCTTGGCAGGTTGTTCCTCTGAGAAGCACTAAGTGACCCTCTTCAGATTAGTTGCCTTGAAGTTTGTCTTCTGATATTATACTAGATATGCCCTTGTGTTAGGAAGGGTTTCTATGGCTGTGATAAAACACCAGGACCACAGTCAACTTGGAGAATAAAGATTATCTTCACTTCCAATCCCACATCATAGTCAAAGGAAGTTAGAGTAGGAAGCAAAGGCACGAAACCGGGCACAGAAAATGAAGCAGAAGACATGGAAAATATTAATTAGTGGCTTGTTCCTCATAGGTAGCTCAGCCTGCTACCATATACCATGGAGGACCATCTGCCCTGGGGTGGCAGTGTCCCTAATGAACTGGGCCTACCTATATCAATCATTAATAATAAAAAAAATGGTCACAGATTATAGTAGTACATAGCTTTAATCCCATGTTGTAGTTGGTAGTGTGAGGTATGGTTCTCCAGGTGTACAAGACCAATGTGTTCTACATAGCAAGTTCCAGACAAGCCACAAAAACCTAGGCTGAGATCCTCTCTCAATAAAATGAACCAAAGAAAATTCTCTATAGTGTTTCTTACAGGAAGATCTGATGGGGACATTTTCTCCCTTGAGAATCTCTCTTCCCACGTGACTAGTTGTGTGAATTTGACATAAAACTAAACCGAACAGCCATTGTTTGTTGGTGCCTTTGCGTTGAACACCTCTCTCCACATTTTTACCCACAGCAGTATCCTTCCTTGATGGTGAGCTGTGTTTCTTCATGACAGCAGAGAGATCTTATTTTCTATGACATGCTATTTGGTGTCACTTTGCTGGGAAGCATGAACATTAAGCATCATTCATGAATATGCCTTTAATACCAGTACTCGGGAGGAAGAGGCAGGTGGATCCCTGAGTTCAGTCAAGACTGGTCTGCTTAGCAAGTTGCAGGCCCTCCATGTTTACAGAGAAAACCACATTTAAAAAAAAGAAAAAGAAAAAAAGAAAAACCCAAAAGAACAGAAAAAGGCCTAAGCTTCAAAGAGAGTTTTCAACCAATAAAGAAACTGGTTAAAGTGTTCAGTACCCTGGGCCATCAGAAATGGCATATTTGGAAGTGAATTTACATCAATATTGACAATTCATCTTTCACAAGTCAGAATGGCCAAGATTAAGAAAACAGTGATAATAAAGTTTTGTCTTGGATCTGAAGAGATGGTTCAGTAGACAAGAGTGTTTGCTGCTCTAAAACAGGAGTGGAATTGTTCCCAGAACCCAGGACAGGTGGCTCACACATGCCTGGAACTCCAAGCCCAGGGGATCATACACTTTCTTTTCTTAAAAAAAAAAGGCAGATTTATTTTATGTGTATTACTGTTAGATCCCCTGGAACTGGTGTTATAAAAAGTTGTAAAGTGCCATGTGAGTACTGGGAATTGAACCCAGATCCTCTGGAACAGCAGTCCGTGTTTTTAACCTTCGACCCATCTCTCCAGTCCTGATCTGAAACCTTCTTTGTGTCTCTATTGAAACCAACACTCTCATGCTGACATACACAGAGACCTAATTAAAATAAAATATGTCTTTCTGTAACAACCAGGATGTTTTCTCTTTCCGTTTTCTCCTCATTAATGTTACAGAATGTCAAGTCACAGAATGTCACTGCTTTGTTAATTCTTGTGTGCGCTTATAGATGCAAGCAAGCGAGTCAAAGGAGAAAGAAAGAAGAAACTCTTTGTGGGAACAAATTACAAGAAACATTTCAAGCTGTAATGTTCATGTGTGAGACCAGAACAGGGACAATATACCTTTCAGGTTAAGGTTTCTGTTTGCAGTTAAAGATTAAGTTCCTGTTTGTCCTGTTAAGTCCTTGAAAATTAAGGTTTCCATTTGTCATTTAGAATAAGTTTCTGTATCCTAGATCTGATGTAAACTCTAAAACATGTTTTTCAACCTACCCGAAACTCGCGACCCCATTCACATGCTGTCTACCCTTACCCTTGTTCCTTCAATTTCACTGTAACTCTCTAACAACGTCTAGCAGCCAACTCTCGCCCCCTTGAACACTTTCTCTCGCCTATAAAAAGGACCTCAAGAGGACGGCAAGGGCTGCTCCCTAAAGTCCCTACTTAGAGAAAGGCAACCAGACAGGCCAGTCCTGGGTATACCCCAAAATAAAGCTTGCTTCAGTTGAACAATTGTGGACTCAGCCTTATTCCTCCCACTTTTCAGGTTAAACACACAGCCACATGAAATCTTTGGAAAGTGAGGGACAAAATGACTCCATTCCTGAAGGAAACCAAACACTTTTCCTAAGGCAAAATTGCTGTCACATAAACTCCATTCCCTTCTCCACAATGGAAGCCGCTGGTGGGGAATATGTACTCTTCAGCCTTTGCTGGAGTATTGTCTTTCTCTTTAAATCTTCTGCTGTCTGCTTACTATGTCATAATTAAAAGTCTTCAGGGTGCCATCCCATTACAGGGTAAGCAGGTCACTGCACTGGGAAATCAGACCCTTCCTGGAGTAAGACAAACTGACAAGTCAGTGTTTGTCTCTCTAATATGAGCAGCTTTCATCTTCCTTTCTTTGACTTTCTATCTTATGATGTTTTCAAATATCTCATCCTTTGTATCAGTCAGGGGTCTCTAGGGTCACAGAACTTGTGGAATGAATCTCTACCATATGTGTGTGTATGTGTGTATATGTATGTATATATTCCATATATATACATGTGTATGTATATATATATACATATACATATGGGAATTTATTAGAATGATTTACACACTGCAGTCCAACGGTGACTAGTTGTGAAGGGAAAGTCCAAAACTCTAGTTGTTACTCATACCCAATAGCCTGGGTGTCTCAACGGTCCTCTGTATATTCTGGAATCCTGAAGAAGCGGGCTCCGATGCCAGTGAAGGTATGGCTGTGCTGACAAGGCGAGGGCAAGCAGGCAACGAACGAACACACTCCATTCCTTCTTCCCTTGTCCTTATATAGGCTTCTGCTGGGGACCATCCCTAGCTGTGTACAGGTTCCAGAGGAGTAAGGATCAGGGAAGGGGAGGGTTGAGTCAGAAACCCAGATGGGAAGACTTTGTAAGTCTGACTTAGTAGCAATCATAAAATTCCTTTATTTATGCAGATTTAAAAGATATTCATGATTTTTCAAGAGATACAGATCACATCATTTTGTTCCAGGCATACTTCGTTAGCATGC